CCATCTGAGCTCAGAAGAGACACGTGACGTGACCAGATTGTCAAGTTTCTCACGTCGCTTGTAAGGATGTTCATTCACCTCGAAGGAGATGAGCATTCTTGATTCTGATCATCGAAACAAGGAATTGTACGGTTCAGATATGAGAGTAGGTTGGCAGAATTTTCGATGTGATGACCTTCTCTTATTGTGAGTTTTGGACGACTACATCCTTTGGTTCATGCTTGCAGGAGCCTTTCCTGTTGCTGTGCTTGGCCTCTTTCTGTATTGAGGGAAAGGCAAGCGTCTCTTCTGTAAATATGGTGGCAGCGACTGAATGTGTTCTTGAATGTAAGGCAACATGCAGAACAAGGTCATCAACATGACGCGTGTGTTGTAGATGTTTACTTGTAGAGGGTAATATAAAGCTAACTGACAATCAGAGACTGTGCAGAACAAGCACTTGAACATGTTGCCCAACCATCTTATGGCAGTAATCTGCAAGCACCGTGTGTTGCTCAACACTTGGGGAAGCAACGATGCCCCGCTACTTGAAACATGCGCATCGATCAAAAACACAAGGGAATGTGCGCCCAACACTGGTGCACACCTTGCGTTCAAGCAGTGCTTGAAGTTCGCCCCTCAGATCAACCAGCATCTGTGCAACGTGGGGCTTGGCCTTGAACCTGAACAACTTGTTCATCATTGAGAACCGCCCTGCTTCCTTCTCTATTTCAAGCTCTCCGCCAAAGAGGAGCAGTGCAATGTCCGTGACCATGGACGATGAGCGGAAGAGAATTCCTGATGTGTGGACCTGCGCAGGGCAAGACCACAAGCGCAACATGAAATGAGCGCCCACAGCCACAGCTGCCTGTCTTCTGTTGCCAATTTCGGCACGGTCAGACGGCACATTCACTAACACAAACTAGGACAAGTTATAACAAAATAAGGCAAACATTGCCCATTTGCAAAATTGTGTGAAATGTGTGAAATCGCGAATCGACATTGGACTGTTTGCCATTTGGGGACTGAGCTGTTCAGTTCTCACAATGCTCTGGGGATGACCTTCATCACTGATCTAGTGACGATCCAATAGGTGGGCCACTGCATTAGTTGCGCAGACGGCAGCATGCGCTTTTCTGCTTCACAACGGCCACTGGGAACGGGAGATCCGATTTAGGATCCCAACCAATATCTCGCTTTCGCGATGCAGACTGGGGGTGCGCTTCGAAACCGAATCTGCAGTGTGTGTCTCGACAAGCGGGCATAGTCTAAGACCTGAGTTTCTTGGGACTTTACATGTCAGAACCCTTGCGACGCGCGCGCTCTTGGAAGGCCCGCGCTGCAGTACGCAATGCAACACAGTGGATCGTGAGCAGCGCTGCGTTGGACGTTTGGGTTGCTGTGGTGTGGTCGTTCGTCTGCAAGTTTGGGAGCGCACAGGCAGCAGCCAAATTCGATTGGCGAAAACTGGCTTGCAACTGGTCGACGGGATGCCCCGTTTAAGCTTCGTGTGTCGCCGCTTAAGTTACGGTTCAGGGCGTTCGCTTAACGCCCTTTCGCTACCCTTTTCCCTTCTCCCCCCCCCCCTTTATTTATTTCCCTTAGGTTGTACACGCATCATACCTCGGCCTATTTGTATAACCCATAAGTAGCTATATTCCCCCCCCCGTCTTATCATTGGTGCTTATGTTAATGTTGCTCCCTCTCTCGTTACCGTCACGGTCGCGGCAGGCGGGAGAGCAGGCGGGGAGCAGCGGGGTGGGTGGGCGGGGCACAACAACAGCTTGCCGCTCTGTGTGGGTGCCTTGCAGCTGGCCACTGGCGAGCACAGCCACTGTCGGGAGGTGTAGTGGCGACTCGGCATATGATTCTCGGCTTTACCTCAGTGGTGAGGATCGGGCCGATTTCTTGCATTTATTAGTTTCGTCACCCCATTTTCTGTGGCGACCAGTGCGGGTCATCGCTTGCTTTTGGGATCTGCACCCTTCCGTCGAGCCCCTTCTCGGATCGGTGCCCCCTTTCCGTTTTGTTACATGTACAGTTTACTTTACGATCACTATTCTGCGTGTCTTGACCATATTAGCCGGGTTGGTCCTTTTGGTTGGTTCCCGTTTTGTTCTAACCCTTTCTGCATGCACTTGCTTTCCTTTTGACAACCTTATGTGTTGGACCCACAGGTATCCTCTTGTCCCGCGCACCCTACACCCTTTGGGGCGGTAGGTGCGCCCAATACCCTTTTTTTTTTTTTCTGCTCATGGCTATTTGCGAACGCCTGAACCTTGCAGTTAAGCTTCGTGTGTCGCCGCTTAAGTTACGGTTCAGGGCGTTCGCTTAACGCCCTTTCGCTACCCTTTTCCCTTCTTCCCCCCCCTTTATTTATTTCCCTTAGGTTGTACACGCATCATACCTCGGCCTATTTGTATAACCCATAAGTAGCTATATTCCCCCCCCCGTCTTATCATTGGTGCTTATGTTAATGTTGCTCCCTATCTCGTTACCGTCACGGTCGCCCTCCCCCCCCCCTTGTGATGTTACCCCCTCCTCCCTTGAAGCAAGACGTCCAACCTTTTTTAAATGGGGGCGCTTTCCAGTCCAACTTTTGTCACCTCACTCCCCTAACACCGGAACTACACTAGGGGCTGACCCGGGCCCACCGGCGACAGCCACCTAGCCTCCAAACACTCACCCGGGGATGGGCCGCCGACCCGCCGTCCCTGGCCCGTCGGCCCGTCGGCGCGGACGCGGCCCCCGCCCCCGGGGAGGGGACACCCTCCCACACGCTCCCAGCTACAACAGTCACAACCTCCCTCCCTCACACGCTCGCTCCCCCCAAGCGCTACTCCTCTCGTTACCGCCGTACTCGCTTCGTGCGTGGGGTTGGCGCGGGGGCAGTTGCACGTTTGCGTGTCCGTATTGTTGCATCTGGTACACCACGTTTTTTTTTTTTTTTTCGCGCTGTTTACGTATGGCCACCCCTTTGCTGCGCGCCCGTGCTGCTCTCAACCGCTGCTTACCGCCTCCGCTCACCCTGCCACCCTCCCCCCCGCCGGCGTCGCCCTCCCCCGCCGCTGGGCGCGGGTGATCGCAGTCGGCCCCCTTGCTCCGGGTAGGTGCTGGCGATCTGCCCCCTCCGCGCGCGCCTGCCTCGCCTCCCGCCAGGCATTTACTGGCATCCTCATTCTCCTGCACAGGGCCTTCCTCTTCGCCTGGCTGCGGGCTCCGCCCCGCTGCCCACCTCGCCGCATAGCTTGCGGCGGCGGCCATCCCGAGCCGGCTTCTTCTGCCGGGCTTCCTCCCGCGATCTGCGCATGGGTGCGAGGCGGCAGCCATTCCAGGTAACCAGGGGGCTGTCGCCTCCTTCGGCGCCAGATTGGTAGCCCCGCCGTCGGAGTCAAGCCCTCCTGCCGTGTTGCCTGCTCCTTCTCGTGCCTCAGTGCCCTGTTCTCTGCTCTCTCCTGCTCCCCACGGACTGGATCTCTCTGCATTCTGTGTGCGCCGGCCCGGCTCTGGTGTTGGGCGCACTCGCGGTCCTTCGCTTCCTCCGCGATAGCATTGGTCCCTGAGTGCCTTTCGGCCGGCCCGCGGCGCACATTCGGCATCCTGCGGCCCACCTACCTGCTCGGCTGGACGGGGGTACCCCCAATTCCACCGCCTCCTTGTTCCTGGTCTCCGCCATTACAGTCTTGCACAAACCCTTAGCCTCGCGTCCAGCGCCAGCGTCCTGTAGACATCCACCGCTCCGCTTCTCCATCGCCCCTGCGCCATCAGCCACACCAGGGGGACTCCCCTTTCCTCTGCCCGTGAAGCGCCGCCCACTCGCGGGCTGTGGGTGGACACGGGGGGTGATTCTAGGCCCAGCCCGGGCATGGCCTCCCCCAGTCGCCGATGCAGGATGCGCAGCCTGCGCGTAGCGAACGCGCTGGATGCGTACGGTCCTGTCCAGCTGCCTGCCCTGCACCGCTGGAACGCGGGTTCTGCTGGATCTTGGTGCCGCAGCAGTCCTAGGAACTGCTGCACTACCAATGCAATGTTGACCCCCGGCCCCGTGCACCCGGCCAGCACCACTTCCGCTCCTTTCCCTTGGGTGTTCGTCTTGCTCCACCTTATTCTCGGCACCACGTGGCTCCCTGCATCTGTCTCTCCCAATCGGATATCCTCCACCCGCAGCCGGTGGACCTCCGCTTTTCGGAGCATCCTGAAGAAGCCCAGCACCAACATAGCTGCGTCCCGGGCACCTTCTAGGAGGGATGCCGTGTCCTCTTCTATGTTGTTGTCGACCCCTCTCAGCAGGAAGGCTACGGACGAGTGTGGGTAGGCAACCCTTGGGGACTTTGCCCCCCCGTGCCTTCACCCTCAATGCCAATTGCCTTGTCAGGTCTGAGAGTCCTGGGTCCGCTCCTGGGTACTCCCAGCCCTTTTCGAAGTGCCACCCCCAAGCCCGGACTCATGGGAGCTGGGCGAGCAGCACGGGCTCTGCTCCGCCCCCGTCGATCCCGCGCGGCCGTGGTGGGCGCGGGGGGGATCCCCGCGCAGATCGTCTGTTTTTTGGTTGTCGGTGTATGATTGGTTGGTACAAGGCTGCTGCAGGGCCCGAGTCCAGACCCGCAGGGGCGGGCCACCTGATCCTCGGTGTGGTTGGCGTTGCAGGGTGTCTCGAAGCCCACGGGGCGGCCGTCGTCAGCGGCCCCCCCTCGTTGGGCTGGGAGGCGTCAGCACCACCAGGTAATGGAAGCTTGAGCGCTGGCCCGCAGGACGCGATGACAGGCGGCAGGAATTGCGGCTGCGCGGCGGCCCGCACTGGGGCGTCTGGTGGGTACGCCATCGCCGGCTGCGGGGTGTGCGGTCCGTGGGACACGGGCTGCCGCCGGGGATGGCTGCGTGGGCTGGCCTCGGGGCGCGCACTGCCGGGGCGCGCAGCCGCAGGCGGTGGAGGGGCCGAGTCTGGGCTCTGACTGGGCGCTCTGTGCTGTCTGGCCGGAGGCTGCAAGATCGGCTGCGGTGATGCATGGTCTTCGGGTCGTATGTCATCCACGGCTTGGTCTGCGACGCCGATGCCCCCTGGCCTGGCCGACGGATTCCAGCCCCTTGCGGCCCTGCTCGCCGGGGTAGTGATCTGGCGAGATCCGCGCGCCGATCGATGGCGTGCCCTGGCGGCCTGGCGAGCGGGTGGTACCGGGGTGCGGCTGGGTCCGCTCCCAGCCCTGTGTGTCCGGGGCGCCGGATCGGAGGCTGTCAGCGTAATCGGTGGGTCCAGTTGCTTGGGCACACGCCCGGGCAGCGGGCCGGGAATGGTGGCCACAGCGGGTCGGCGATCGGCAGGGGGTGGGCCTGGTGGAAGTCCTGGGGGGGTCTTCGTGGCGTGGTGGTGGAACTGGCTGTCTCCCGACGGTGTTGCCCTTGAACGTGCTGTGCCACACTGATCTTCATGTGTGTGAATGGATATAGGTGCCCGGGCCTGGCGCGAAGAGCACAGCTGGACGGTTCCCTCCAAGGCAGATGAGGCCGGATGGCCAGCCCCGGGGGCGACGCGGTCCACCCCCAGATCAGTGCCACCCCCCAAGCTAGGCTGCACCTCGGGGCCGGGGCCCGGCCCGGCGCGAGAAGCAGAATGTAGGGGAGGCACAGGCGGGGACCGGGCCAGTCCCGGGGAGGAACCGTGCACCATGCCAGGAGGCGAAGGGCTCGCCCGCGCTGAGAGGGGCGCGGGCGAAGTGCCAGCAGCCCCCGCGTCAAGGGAAGGCAGAGCCGATGGAGGCCGAGAAGGTGCGCCAGGCTGAAGATGCGGAGGCGGCAGGCCGGGGGGGCGGTCAAGGCACGGGGCAGTGGGGGACGGGCGCATGGGTAGGCCGGGTGATGTAGGTAGGCGCCCACCCGCTTGCGGGGGGGACGTGCCCCCCCCTGTCCCTCCGCCCGCGCCACCAGTGGCGAGGATCGCCGCATGGCGCGCGGGCGGGGGTCACCCTGCTATGCTGGAGGCGGGGGGGGGGCCGGCAGCCCCGCAGCCACTGGGGGGAAGATGGTCGTCGTCGTGGGCGGTCCGATTCCGTAAAATGGGGTAGTCAGCGAGGAGATGACCAGGCTTCGTGCAGTAGTAGCAGGGTAGGGCGCTGGGGTGGAAAGAGGAGGTAGAGGCCTGTGCAGCAGCCGCGAAGAGCTGGCGGGCGTCCGGGCAGGCCTTGGCAGAATGGGATGTAGCTTGGCACCAAACACCCAGACCCCGGGCTGGGGGGCCCCTTGGGGGGAGGCTGCGGGGGGGGCTGGTGCTGGGGAATGGATGAACGCCTGGATGGCAGTCATGGCCATCTGTGTGTCGCCGGGAAGCTGTAGGGCCATCACCTCCTGGATGTACTTGTGGACGGTGGGGGGGGAGCGTAGCTTGGAGAGAAGTGGCTTGTAGAGATTGTAGAACGGTTCATGTAAATTAGCCTTCTGGTGTTGCAGCCGGTTGGCTGTCTGGAACTGCCCAGCGGCTTCGGCGGCCTGGATCGCCTGGTCGCAATCCCGTATGCGTGCCGCATAGCGCTCCTCCACCACCAGCTCGGACGGCGTGGAGGTAAGCTTGGTCTCGCCCACCAATTCCGCCAAACCCTTGAGCGCACACGACACTGCCTCAGGGGGCCCAGCCACCGGCTCGCCGAATAAACCTTGGGCGTTGTCCCGAACCCAATCGCCCGGCTGCAAGGGGGAGGGGCCCTCCGCAGGCTGCAGATCGGCCGGGCCAGCCGGGGGGGCACAAGAGGGGGCCTGGAGGGGCGTGGCCGCGGGGCCGCCATATGGCCAAGCCCGGGCCTATCGCGGCCCCCCTCCCCGGGAGCAGGGCCTGTGCGCAGACTGGGAAACTGGCCGGGCCCCTGGAGGCCCGGACCGCCAACAGGTGCAGTGAGCGGGGCGGTGCGTTGCCTGCCGATCTGGTGGATCGGCCCAGGGGGTGGTGGGCCCCGGGGCCCAGACTGCCACCAATCACAATCGCCGCCCCCAGGATGAGCAGAACGCAGGCGGTTGGGATGCCCCGTCTGGCCGGAGGCCGGGCGAAGAGGCGGAAAGCTCCCGTCGCCGTCATGCACAGCTGCGGGAGCGGACGGGTTGGAGGGAGGGGCAAGGGTTGGGTCGACGGTGGGTCCCCATGGGGAGCGGCCCCTCCGGCCGTCGAGACGGACGCCGGCGTGGGCGCCACGACGGATGGAGGCGGCCCCACCCCCAGCTCGTAGCGAAGGCGTGCGTAGTCCAAAGCGGCGGCATCGACGGCGCCGGGGGGGCCGGTCGTGGGGCACGCCGCCGCGCAGCCAGGCGGAAGGAGGGGCGGGGCGCCAGCAATATCGTAGGCAGATGTAGACGCCCGGGCGGAGGCCGACGCCGGCTGGCTCGCGGGCCAGCGGCTGGCATCTCCGCCTCGCGGGCCAGGATCCAGTGGTAGTCGGGAGAGTCCTCGGCGCTGGTGAAAAGATCGTCTCTGATCCGGCGGAGATGCGGCCGCGCCGCCCACCAATCGCGGTTGCGAGTGATGGCCGCGCAGGCCTCCGAGGCAGCGGCGGAAAGGAGGCGTCCAGAGGCTGCCTGGGACGAGGCGCTGACGACGGGGCCCCCCCCGGTGGCGGGAAAGTGAGCGCCAGCCTCGGCCAACCGCAATTGGGTGTCCCGCCGTAGTGCACTGGCCTGCATCCGCTCGTCCGCGACTTTGGCGGTCACCGCCTGTGAGAGGTGGGGCGGGAAGGCGGCAGGGAGGTGGGGGTTGGCGCTGGTGGCCGGAAGGCTCGGGTGAGGGGAGCCAGGAAGGGCGGGAGGGAGGGCGCTGGGCCGTGGATCGTGGAGGAACGCCGGCGGATGGCCGGGGGCCGAAGCGCGCGCCCTTTTGGCCAGCCGATCAGAAGACGTTGGGCGGCGGGATCTTGGGGCTGCATGGGGGCCCGGCGAAGCCCGAGGGCCGCGGGGAGCCCGCCTGGAAGGTGTAGGACGCCGCGAAGTGCAAGCAACGCCGGTGGCAGCCACGGGGGCTGGCGGATCAGCGGCGATGGCGGCCAAGGGCTCTGGGGCGCCCGCTGGCTCGGATGGTCCCCCAGGTTCGGACGTCGTGGGGAAGGGACGGAGCTCGGACGGACGGGCGCGGGCCGGAAGAGGGGGAGGGTCACTCGGTGCCGCAGGAGCTCCCGAAGGAGCATCAACTCGGACGGCAATGGATTGAAGCCGAGGAGTCCCAAGCGAAGGAATGGAAGGGGCGACCATCGAGGCTGGAGGGTTGCCGGCCTCGACGTCGTCATCGGCCGAGGAATCCAGCCAGCAGCCGCAGTCCGCAGAGGGGGAGCGAGCCCAGGAGGAAGGGGGGGCAGAGCCCCGCCGCCGCCCGCGTCCGCGCCCGCGGCGGCGCCCAGAACGAGGCGGGCCCAGGGCGGTGGCCCAAAAGAACGCAAAGCAGCGCCACCGCCACCCACAACGAGCCCCCAAACATGAGGGCGGAAACCAGCGATCGGGGAAGACGCACGGCACAACAACAGCTTGCCGCTCTGTGTGGGTGCCTTGCAGCTGGCCACTGGCGAGCACAGCCACTGTCGGGAGGTGTAGTGGCGACTCGGCATATGATTCTCGGCTTTACCTCAGTGGTGAGGATCGGGCCGATTTCTTGCATTGATTAGTTTCGTCACCCCATTTTCTGTGGCGACCAGTGCGGGTCATCGCTTGCTTTTGGGATCTGCACCCTTCCGTCGAGCCCCTTCTCGGATCGGTGCCCCCTTTCCGTTTTGTTACATGTACAGTTTACTTTACGATTATTATTCTGCGTGTCTTGACCATATTAGCCGGGTTGGTCCTTTTGGTTGGTTCCCGTTTTGTTCTAACCCTTTCTGCATGCACTTGCTTTCCTTTTGACAACCTTGTGTGTTGGACCCACAGGTATCCTCTTGTCCCGCGCACCCTACACCCTTTGGGGCGGTAGGTGCGCCCAATACCCTTTTTTCTTTTTTTCTGCTCATGGCTATTTGCGAACGCCTGAACCTTGCAGTCTCAAGTACGTCCTCCATTTCATGACGGTCGAAGCCAACGTTAACAGTGGTGGGCTGCACCGTCCCTGCAGCGCCTCTTTGCGGTGATATCGCCCATAGGCAAAAGATGAGGCCGCGTTGTGTGCAGCAGAACCGTGCTTGCGTCCTCACACACTAGTAAAAACAGGACAAAATACGCCGTTTTGAAAACCGTGTATCTTATAACACGATCGATAATCATGTAAAACTCGTGTTGAATCGTGTATTTATCTTGTATTATTGGTACAAAAGTGGGAAGAAACCGTGTATTAACGATTGGGTGATTGTACATGATTTTTACACGATTTTGCACGAAATTTATGCGGTTCGAAGCCGTGTATTTTGGCTAATTTTTTACTTACGAATCACATGTTGCGACAAATAGGCGGTCCTTACAGAAGACATCGCGACACATGTGAAGACAAATGCAAGACCTTTCTCTGCGTTTGTGCGCCGTTCATGTAGAGCGGCAGACTAAAACTGCCAGGCGCCATGCTAATTAGCATTACCTTATACAAACTTATTTTATTATTACCTTATATTACTTGGTAAGTGTTATATATTAGTGTATACTTAGAAGTGTTATATATACTATACAATCTTATAAGGTGCCAACGGGCCTGGTGCGAATTCGGTTACAACACAATAGAGCTCACAACACAGCTCGCATCGCTTTTGCGTTGTCACACAGAACTTTGGATGGTGCCAACAACAAAAGTACAGACATCTTCCATGGAAACGAGTGTGTGCGTGTCAAGAACGCAAGTCACAGTCAGGCTCCTGAATGTCCTGTACCGCGAAACCCCAGTCCAGGCCCAGTCAGTCCAACCAGGTCCTTGTCCGGCTTTGGTGGGGGAACAGCAGCACAACTGATGTGCGCCACTCACCACGCCAACTCTGTTCGCCCAAGAATATGCCCAATTACCAGAGGTACAATAATGGCTCGTACCATAATGAAATTCTCAGACGGCCAACACCCTTCCTGTCAGATCTGAATCCTGCACGATATCAATGCAAGTAACAAAATAAATATTCAGACAAGCTTGCAACACAAAAATGTGTCCATTTTCCATTGACCCTCCCAGAGACATGTTTCCCCGAAGAACCACATCACTGCTGCCAGCGTTCGCCGCAATCGCCTTCTCAACCCATTGTCGCTGCGATCTGGTTGTGGCGAAGGAACACAATTTGTCGCCACTGCACAAGCTCCCAAGGTGCACTTGCGTGTGCTGGACTGATCTGCGATGCAGCAACTAATTTGTTTTTCTGCCGATGTGATTTGCTCCCGTATTGGCTGGAATTTAAAACGATGTTCAAGAGATGGATTGATATGGGAACATGGCATGCCCTCAAGAAAGAGGACCAATTGTTGCCATGATGCGCTTCGTTGGCTTGTTTCAGTCTAAGAATTTCTTCCTCGACCATATGTGCGAAAATAGTGCAAAACCTGCTCTTTGCCTTCTGGAAATGCTTCGCAATTCGTCATTAGCTGAACCTCATTTTCAGAATTTCACACAGCATCAAAAAGCGCTTTGTTCTACAATAACACAACGAATGTGCATGCTTTGATCGGTTATCTGTGACCATGCACTTCCTTTGGTTCATACTGAGTCTATTTTTTGAGTCAATTTAATTGAAATTGAATGGCAAATGCGACATAAGGAAATGCACGCTGCAGGCTGGAATTCCCGGCTGCATCGAAAACCCCTTATCTTGTGCCCCGGGCTGCACTTCTGCAGTCGCTTGCTTGCTTTCCTACATCCAGCGAATGAGAGAGTATCGGCACCATCGATAGTGCCCCACACGTGCCGCGCTGCCTGTTTCCAGCAATCCAAGACAACACTGGGAGCGATGCACAAACTAGTCTGATACCAATCGTCTCACGTTCCAGGGAGCGGGATTGCTACGTCGCCTACGTTTGGCCAAACAGTAGACATTGAAGGGGCAATCCACAGACAGCAATACTTTCAAGCGAAAGATCACATGGAGCACCGCTGCTTCTGATCCCAGAACCAGTGGGAAGCTACATGTAAAATTGCAACGAGCTACACGTCAATCCTCCTCAGTGTGTTTCTTCTACCAGCACGTTGGTTCACAAATACTATCTATCTTGCCACGAGATAGTGAAAATCCACGGTCCATCTAAAAAGCCAAATCCTTGAGTGCATTGACAACATCGATGCATTCCTTTAGCAGTCGAAGGCGCTTTCCAAGCTCTTCAGATTGCACTGGGGGCGTTTCAGACACCAGCTTGCCAACCTGGACAGCACGTTGTTTGTCAGAAATGGGAACAACAACCTTGGAATACGTTGACCTGGTGCTGTGTATTCCCCGTGTGTCAACTTGTCCGGTCTTTCCACAGGCATGTGTGTGACATTGACACAGGAAGACTTTGCCAATGTTCCAGTGCTGAACTCCGCAAGCCATTCTCGGATGTTAGCACATCATGTCCGGCTTGAAATTGGATCCTCGATCTTGAAGATGGACCCAGTCACGTTGCTCATCATCCTTGTTGAAACTGGCGTATAGGGGAAATGCAAGATCACATCTTGGTATCCAGATGTGCAGCACCAGCAATAACCACCGCAAGAGGGCATGATTTCCGCAACTGTTGCTACAGAAACCTTTCAGCATCAGTTGTGCATTTCGTCCAGGTGACCGAGGGCCCATCAAGGTAGGCAAGTACACGGCAGCACAGTGCAGTCCTACTGGCCATGTCACATTCTCTGAACTGGCCATGTCAGTCAAGCACGTTGCAGAAACACACCTCTGCCATTTTCCCAAGCACAGCCTGCTCCAGTGCACAGCGCACATCCGTGCCCTTCGTCTTGCTATCACCATCTGCCCACAGGGCACAGGCATCCTGCCAGCCTTCTCCACAAGTTCCTTCTGCAGTCACAATTCCTACATCGCCATGTACTGTGTCCAAGTCTGCGATGCAGCCAGATTCAACATCCATCTGTCCTTCCTCCAGGTGCTCCTGGACTTCTGAGCCACCCACACCTTGGTTGGAAGGTTCAGTCATGAGCAGTGGCTTTTTCCTAACGGGTGGCTCCTCCTCATGTGGCAATCGCTCATTCTGTGACCATTTCTGGCCACCACTAGCATCAGGTGTAGCTGGACTTTGAACCCCTCTTGGGCTGCTGGCACTGGTCTCAATGGCAGTGGTCAGCTCACATCCCACACAGTACAGTGACTTGTCTTTACTTCGTACAAGAGGAGTGTGGCACCTGGAATGGAGGGTAGATGTTTGACATGAGCATCACCTGCAAATGGAGCAGTGTGGGGTGGCTGCAGTCTCCCTTGCGGCATTCACACAATGCTCCTATTCGACACTTATCTGGTCCCTGCTCCTGCCATAGCTCCTCAAAGGCATTGAATCGACCGACATCTTGCCCCACATGCAGGACTATGATAGGGACGCTGGCACAGATGGCAGTATGCAACTCGTGCACTGGGGTACAGCAGCGGCATCCATGGTATTCAAATAAGACGTATCCAAGCATATCACTTTGGTCGAGCTGTGTCTGCCATGTTTCCAGTGCCTGTACGCACCTTAGGCAAGCCATGCAGGTCAATGTCCAGCCCTCCACCATCTTTTCGGCGATTTTGTCAGCATAAAGGTTGCTTGCAGACAGTGTTGAGGAGTGAACTTGACTATGCGTCCCACATCTACTGCTCCTGTAGTCTAACTGCAAGGGTCCAGCAGGAGAAAGCTGGTGTTCCTACCAACCAAAAAGGCAGATGTCAAGGGCACAATAAAACCATTGCAACACCAGCTGGTGCCCTGTAAAGAACATTTCATGGCCACAATCATATGTCGCAGACACGTGCCAGTTGTTTGGCACAAACGATGCTGTACTGCCCATTTCCTGTTGCATTTGGGCACTTTAGTAGCATCTCTTAAGGCATGGCAAAGAGTCTCACAAATGGTTGCTCAAAAAGGAGGTGCGTATTCTGTGAACAGTTCCTTGTTGCTTTCGATTTTATGAATCTGCAGTTGCACTGCAAGGCTGCATAGACAGGTTGCACAGACAAGGCTGCATAGACAGGTTGCACAGACAAGGCTGCATAGACAGGCTGCACAGACAAGGCTGCTGTACTAGGCTGCCAACTGTGCTTGGAAATGGTTGGATCTTTTGTGAGCAGCAGAATGCAGCAAGTAAAGTTGCCAGCAGTCCAGATATTGTCGCAGAGTGCCGTACGCCGAGCATATTAGGGAGAATATGTTGGGCGGCCTTCTTGACCTGAAACATTCCTCCATTGGGCCCAAGCCACCGTCCCATCAACAAAGGATCCTCAAATGTTCCCTTTCCTGGATTCTGGAAGTTCAACATCAACGACTTCAATATCAGCATATATCTGTTTCAATAACCTTTGCTATACTGACAAAACATTGCCTGCTTACATATGGCACCCTCGGTCAGTGTGTACATTCTCCACTGAATGCTTCATTGTCACGATGCTTGCCATTTTTCTTGCTTGCTCAATACTTCACTGTGACTGCCGTTCACCAGCTTTGTTCATTGCTTGCCCTTGCCAGCAATAAGAAATGGGAGTGCACTGTGGTGCAACACTTGATGCAAAGCTAGAAATGTCCTATTTGCCTGCAATGCTGGCTCCTTGCCCATCTTCACAAGATTCTCGTGGATTGCAGTCCATCGTTTGTGCACACAACATGTGCAAAATTTCTGGTGCAAACACCAGGTGCAGAGTAAAACTGGACACGCACATCGTGCTACCCACTCACAACTGCCTGTTGCTTGAGATGCGTGGCAATCCTTATTCCCCACATGTGTCAAGGATGACAAGGCGCTACTATTGCCTACTGCCTACTGACATTGCAAGCTCCTTGTTAGGAATCTCCTTGGGAGGTCATACTTGGGGTCTGGGATACTTTGGCAACACATCAGCTTATAACCTATGCAAGAGGTTGCAGCACAAACTGGACAACCCCTTGGCGTTAGGCACTGTCAGTAGGAAAGTAGGAACGTATGGGAAGTCACAAGACTGCTGCGCCAGGGCACAACTGAAAAATCAACGCCTCGATAGATGTGTCACACCCTTTCCTGTCCCATAGTGTATTAGAGGTCCAGTGCTCTCATTTGTCATAGCATTTTCGACCAAATCTCTACCCATTCAAACCAGCAAGAACCGATGCAGGGTACACCAAATCACTCGCTTCACTAGTTGGCTATGAGCGCCTGGTGCAAGGCATCCTGTTGAGTTCAGCAGTCCATGCTGTAATGTAGGCTCGCAATCACACCCTTCCAGCACAATGGGCTGAAAAGGCTTAGTATGCCATCACTGACCAATGAATGTGAATGATGGCTTGCACATGAGCAAATGACTGTGCACCAAACCATCTGCTTGATGTCTTCCATGCCAGTGTCCTCCCTGGGTTCCATCCCAGTCTTTGCTCACAATTTCTTGCATGATTGACGACAAACCAGCTGCACATCGACAATTGATTTTGAGCATGATGATAAGACACAATACCTCATCTAACATAATGAGCTAGCATTTAGCTATGCTTCTACTATAATAAGATGGCTGCATTGGCCAAATACATTTCTAAAGCAACAGACTACCATGAGCCAACAATCCCAGCAGGCACATGTGCAACGTACATTGGATATGATACCGAGTGGCGGCCTTGGTCCCCAAGCAACATCCCCTCCTGTGACACGTCGTTGGCAGTTCGAGCACAATTTGTCACCTGTCTGATGTTCTTGCATTAAGGGAACCTGAGCAGCAAATGTCATTGTTAGCACCAATGCAGCGCATTCAGATTCCTTGCATGTGCCACACTACAAGTTATCTTCCGCTAGTTCCAGAAAGTGAACAACGCATTGCCCATTCACCCATCAGCTTGTGACCGTACACAAAGTCATGCCACCCCAGCAGCCTTTTCACCACCGAGTTGAATTCTTTGAATACAATTGTTAAAAGGGAACTTGAGAAGGCACTGCCTGTGCACCTGAAAGGCAACGTCGCGATCTCAGTCTTGAACAAATTCAGCTGGCAAAGCGCAAATGGAGCATTTGATATTGCCATTTGCTGCACAAGCTGAAACAAAGCCTTCACAACAAGGACGGCAAGGATGTGGGCACAAAGCCACCAATTAGGAATGTGTGATATAATTAGGAATTATGTTCGCCATCACAAATGAAATCCTTTTCCCTGCCATGCGGCAGTATTAGGTCTCAAGTTCTTCATTTTGCAAATGGCTGCAGAACCAATCTCTGGCCAAAGAATGAGTGGCGCGTCCACTGCTTCCATGTCTATACGCTCCTGCTGCGACCGTGGTCCACGTGCCTGCTGCCTGGGTGAGGAACCTGCCAGTGGCCGCCAATGACGTCTGACGACCGTCGCGATTCGCTATAGCAACATGTGTTGCGACTGAAATTTTCGCGTTGCCACCTGAAGAAGGCAGCAGGGACATCATACTACCGCTACAGGCGACCTCTACCCTGGCACCAAAAGACCGTGAAACATCGTTCCCACCGATATAGTTGACCAGCTCACGGTGTTGCCCTCAACCGCCGCGCCGACGATTGTGGACGACCGTCTTCAACGGGGAGTGACAAATTCTGCAAAGAACTCCACGAGAACTTCCAGACTGCGCAGTGGTGCGGGGCCTGACACAGCTCCAAGGAACACTGGGAAGGGATTTACGGCCCCCGGACCACGCGATTCTGATTGCACGGGACACAAGAGGCCAGGGCCTTGGGCTTGGCAGTTTTACTCCCGTTGCCGGGGGTTGGAAAAGGGCCCCTTGGGCAGTCAGCCCCCCACGCCCCATCGACGTTCTCACGAGGCGCCGACCACGAAGAAACGTCAGCACGTGCCAGCACCCTCGCGAAGACGCCCCGCAGATCGGCGGAGCACGCGCCACAAGAACAGTGGACCAGCTAAAACACCGCAGCCCTTGTTCACTGCCAGCAGCTCCTTCCAATATCTGCGCCGAGCTGACCCGCATCCCCGTTTCCCGACAGAAGACCTTTCCTCGAAAGCGATCTTGCGCCCCAGCCCGCAGAGCGGCTGCCGCCCGCGTACCCTGCAGTCGCCGCAGCCCTCCGCCAGCGTCGTCCAGCCTTTGAGCAGCAGGTCGCCCATCCCGGACACGCTGTCCTGCCGGATCGGCGGCGAGCCTTGCAGCACTCTTGCCTCCGCCGGCCCTTCAAGCACAGGGGCTGACGCTCACGTGTGTGCGATGGTTCCCCCCAACCAGTTGGAACCCTTTCTGGGAACTTTCTTCCAATTTTCAACAAGCTCTGACAATAATTGAATTGCATGAACAATGATTTCTGTGTGTCACCGTTCACATTGTTATGTCATAGTTGCTTTATGCTGTCAACACCTTCGTTTGATCACCGGAGACACCACCACTCGCCGTGTGCGCATTCTACTGGCCCCGTTGAAGGGCCGAAGAGCTGTCAATGTGAGATCCTACCAAGTGAGAGCCTGGCGGGTGTCTTGTGGCAGTTTGCGGCACAATTCGCCACCGTCACTCTGTGCTCTGTGGCCATCTGCGAGTTTCCCTTCATGCCCAGCGCGTGGGTCATCCGCGATGCCTGGCACACCAACATTAGGGCAATGACAATTGAGGGGTCCTCTCGCAAGGTCCCATTTCCGCTCCATCCCAGAGTTCGGCGGCCACCAAAGCGCGCAAAACGTTCAGATCTTCGCCAAGCTGCCTGTGGCTATCTCCTTGCCTTGTTCTGTAAAAAATCATGATGATGATGACACAATCATCGACGACAGCTCCCATCAGTGTAGGATATTCAAACTTCCGCATCAAAAATTTTTGCCGTTACGCTTTTCGCTCTGCAGTTTTTTCCAGAGCGTTGTCATTTTCTTGTATGTTGCTCCGCAAAATTTTCGTTATTACTTCTCCGCAGACAAGGCCAAACGTAGCTTTACCACAGCCCACAGCCACTTGAAGTTTATTCCCCAGGCGACGAACATTGCGGGGCAAATATCCCCCTCGCAGCCCGGGGGCGTTGAAGTTCATCGCGCGCCAAGGCTGCCTGCCCCGCGACGTCCGCCTCGCGGCCGACGCGACCGCCCCGGAGGCCCGCTCCCAGTGCCCCTTTCGGCAGGGGGCGCGACGCCAGCGATGCGCGAAGGATGCACCACGTGCTGTTCGCGCTGCTCAGATGCGGCACGCGGAAGCTCCTGACGCGCGGCCCCACGGCGCCGGTGGCCCTCTCCCCTGGCTGGACCCACCTCCCTGCGCCGCGATCCGACGCCCGGGTGCTGGCTAGCGCTCTCGAAAGTCCCATGCCACCTCTGGCTTTCATGTTCAGTTCGGGCGTCCGCGGAGTGGCGAGCAGCTGCCGCGACCCGCACAGGCTGAGGGTACGCATCCGTAGGAGGCAATTGGTGTCGGAGGCGCCGGGAGGCGCCTGCGGGGCTACCGGAGGGAGTTTCTGGCGGTGGCATGCGCTTGCCGTGCGGCGCAATGACTGTCACGGGAGTCGGACGAGGCGATGGAAGCCCAGGGACACCCTGTCGTCCAGGTGCCATCCGCTACCCTCAACTTGTGCGGGCGCTGCCCGCGACGGCGCTGTGTGGCGACGTCAAGATATGAAGCTTGCTACATTTGGCTCTTGGGATCTAGCTCATGGACACCAGTCCACAATTGCTACATATGAAACACTTGGGCAATTTCTTGGGGCGTCCAATACGATAATAAGCAAAATTTCTTTGGGCTAGTTTCTGACACTGTGCATCAAGCCCGATACCGCCCGATAGATGCAAAAAGGGCAGTTCATTGTCCAGTTTGTTGACATATTGAACAGCTTTACTGCACACTGCCGCCAAAGTAGCTTGAACACCTCCTATGACTTGCTGCAGTGCGTGACATCTCCGATCATGCACATTGGCCTTGATCCATCTTAATTCGATTGAATTGAATTTGAATTCATTTTACATTGAGAAGACCTGGGTTTATTTGAAATGGAGAACTGCACCGATGGACGTGAACATGGCATTGTATTAAGTCAGTGCAGACTCACTTGTGCATAGCAGTGAAGAATTTCCCTGTATCATGCAATGTGAGTTGAGCACAGTGATTGTGATGGATACGTGCCTACTGTATTTCGTAAAAAGTGATAGAACCAGACGTCAAAGAGTTTTGGAGAGGGCTGATGGTGGTGCCAGATTCGAAATTAGAACAAGCTGCACAGTCGATAGCCACAAACTTGCGTCTATTCATGAATTTGATGCACACCTGGTATCGTTGATTTTGACAGTTCTCCCATGTGGTGCGCAACTTGCAGCTGCGGAAGCGGAATGCATCAACCCCGTATTTGCTTGCGTTCTGCGTAGAGGAGCAGAATGGCTGGTACTTTGTCATGTTTTGACTGCGTTGAAGCATGGATGGAATAATCTGATACAAAGAAACATTCTTCCTCTCAGCTTGTGCTAGCCGACCTGGCACACTATAGAACAGAAGTTTGCTGCTGTTGCTGTCCAAAACACCCGATTTCGCCTGCTTGACAGGCTGGTAATTTGGCATCTTTGGACAGGCGTGACCATTGTGGATTTGTTGTACCGACCAAGCTGGTGTGATTGTCATGCCAGTGCGAGCGCCAGTGCTGCAGGCGTTCCTCTGACTGCCGACGACAACAATGGTGCCACCACTTCACCTCGCTACATGTTGAGGGATGAAAGAGACCAGGAGTTCTTAAAGCGGGAATTGCACACTATTAATGTAGGTAAGACAGCAAGGTGCAGGTTGGGCACTGGTTCTGAAAGAGAGAACGTGCACATGAGCACTGTGCATCCTCGAGGGGGAATTTTGAAATGCTCTTGTATTATGTTGCGATGTGCGATGCACATTCTCCATGCCCTGTGGGATGAAGTGGACAGTTTGACTGCCTTGTTGATTGATTGTCTTTGGGCGTTCTTGGAGTGCAGGTTGTTGCATTGCAGATTCTGTGCTTTTACAACTTCTCTTCCCTCAAATGGGGACAAATTTGCTTGCTGAGTGAGACATGCCAGGTGTGACTCATCAGCATTGCAGTTATCCAATCCCTAAATCATCCTTGAAAACTTTCCCACAGCATCACAAATCAACTCCATTTTGCATATTACTTCTGCTCTTGTGAGAATGACACAAATTCGATGGATTCTATTTGTTCAAGGGCACATGGCAAGTGGATGATGCCCGATGGATGGAACAGTCATTGCAGATCATGTGTGTGTACCGTTGCAAAGACTGTAAAATGATCTTGTGCCACCATGGCTGGACCAAAAACCTGCTGCAGTGCGAGCCAAAACTTTGCCCCTTGAGCTGATGGAGCTGATGGCATCGCCTGTGCTCATGACAGCTGTTGGTGTGAATTTCGCAATCTTCCTCTTCAAGCTGGGTGCATCTGCTGCTTCAGGAAGCAGGTAGGCTACTTAGGGAAACGGACAGCATGGCGACAAAAGTACATTTCAGCTTTTAAGACATTCTGAACTTGACGATCCGCAGCCCTTGTGCCTCCACATCCATGTTGTTGAATTCGTGCAGCCTCAGAAGGATATCCCAAATGCTCTCCACCATCTTCATCTTTAACAAGAAATTAATACACAACAGTTGTGGTGATGCTTGTTCCAACATCCAAGCTCTGACAGGTTCAAGAAACTGGCCTTGTTACTGACATGCTTCAAAAGCCACAAACGTTGATAAATTCATGTACTGCACTCCAATTTGCAGTCTGCACACTTTCAGATACTGTCTTGGGCAGACCACAGTAACATGTTTATATGCTTCGCTGCCTAAACAAGCTCAAAGAACTCAATGCAGATGCACAAAGGAAAGGTTGTGGCACTCATTCACATCGGAGTGCTTGTAGTTCCAACCATGACAGCACAACAATGCAATGCGGCCTATGTGTCACAAGTGAACATATCCAGTACTGGATGCGCAACAGTCCCTGCTCCTTCAAGTAGTTTACAGCTGCTGCCCAAGTCATTTCTTGCCTTGCAAACAAGGCTCTGGATCAGAGTTGCCCTGGCCTTTGCAACTTGTGGACTTGCTTCCCTGGGCCATTGTGAACATTCGAATGTCAATGACATAGGCTGGTTCAAACAACTCAGGCACAGGGTCCAACTGGACAGGCAGCAAGTTGGTGTTTGTACTCTTGGTGCTTGGAGTGGTCGGAATTTGCTAAACAACTGTGTGTGGCAGCTCTCAGACATCATTTGTGTGTGTATGTTTCCAGCTGTGTGTCCCATTTGATGCCTGCTTGGCAGTCAGTCGCTGACCACTCATTGCCAACAGACTAACAGCATTTGAGAATATTTGAGTATGGTCCTTGAGTCACCAAAGATAGATTGGGAAAGACACAAGTGTATTTACAAATGCTCATCACTGTGCTGAAGGTCCAAGGGCAAAGTCCATCATGTGGTTGGTAAGCGCAGCTAAGCATCAAGCAATGTAGTTTCAATCCATGCCCATAGTGCTGTGCAGAATGGTAAACTATGATGACGCTCCCCAATTTGCAAAGTGTTGTGGATCGACACAACATGGTATTGTGGATGAACACAATCTTTACTGGGCAACTGGGTTCCTGCAACACAAATAATGGAATCATGCTAGCAACAATGCTGACACGTGTTGCACTTGTGCTCTCAGTTCCATGCTGGCAGAAGCAGTCCATTCCCTTGCTGACGTTGGAAATCAGGTGAGTCATAGATTCAGTTGCACAGAGTGCCAGCTGCACCATAGTTGGTGGTTGATCAGTGCCTTCCATGTTCCATTGTTTTCTTCCTGAGCCATTTGATCAGATCACCATGGAGTCATTGTTGCCTCCCTTGGAATGGAGCCTCACTGATAGCATTGAGGTCCTGCCACTGGCCACAATCGTTTTTCAAACAGTGTAGAAGTGGCAATCGCCCATTGTGCTAGTCTCATCCCCCATCCATGGGCCATTGTGCATCATATGTTTCTGATCCACAACACCATCACAAGAGCTGCAGATACGAAGCTTCCAAGAAGAACCCAATAGAAGCCTGCTTGCCCCAGTCTTTGTCAGTGAGGATGATTTTTCCTGAACTGTTGCAGGTTATGGCCATGATTTCCAGCTCATTATATTTGCTGTCGCAGGCAGAAAGTGCCCTTATGGCTTTTAGGCAGTGACTGGAAAGTGGCCATGTAAACTGAATGTATTCCTGAGGGCCCCTGCTGTCAGGTCCTTCTTCGGACAGGGGTACTTCAGGGACTCAAGGGACCCACACCAGACTACCCGTATGGCTACAGCCGTGACAAGTTTGTGTGGTCGCTGATATCTGCGGTGGGCATCTTCTTTGCTGGGGCAGGCGTGTCGCTGGTGCATGGCCTGCAGGGACTCTTCATGACCCGGCAGCTGGACAACCTGTCTGTTGTGTACTGGGGTAGGTGACCTGGAGCGATTCCCACAACATTCATACGCTGCATTTCACTGCTCGATTGTGATGGTAAGGCCATCGCCATAACAAGGTACAAGTATCTAAAACTAACATCATCAAGACGCCCTCCTCCCCACCCCCAACCCCAAAGCCCCCTTTTGCTACATACACAGAGACACAATTACACTGCACATATGGGGACAAACTATCCAAAACTGTACCTGCAAGTGAAATAGGCTAGTTGATCCACGAAAGACGACCATGCGACAGGTCGGAGCAGCACCTAAAATTTTATTGTTACTGAAGGGAGAGTTTGGCCACCCACCAAGTGCAGGGATGTCGTGTACCAAATGGATGTCGCTCGGTGATATTTCCTGTCTGTGCTGATGCTCCGAATTGCACACAACTACACACATTATCTGTGATTCTGATATCTCATGATCTGTGATTTGTGGTCCGTGGTTCATTGTGCGATTTGTTTGTTCTTAATGGATACACTGAACAGGGAAGCTCCTCTCGTTTGTGTGTGCTCCCATGCAGTCCTGGGTGGGTCGTTTGTGCTGGAAGGCTACTCCTTCCTTGTGGCTTTACGGGCCGTGACACAAGGAGCTGCGCAGAGGGGCATGCGCGTTCTGGACTACGTGTTGTTGGGCAGAGACCCCACGCCAATCGCAGTCCTGCTGGAGGACAGCGGAGCTGTGGTGGGATTGATGGTGGCAGGTGAGGTGCCGCTCACAGTCTTGGGTTAGAAGTAGGTGCAAGTGACCCCAAATGGATAGGCTTGTAAAGTGCACAGTGAGTAGAGCTGCCACTGACAGCAGCCTGTTTGTTGCACCCCACATCTGTGCATGTACCTGTACCTGTACCTGTTTGCTGCGCAGTACATTGAAAACCTTGAGAGCAGTGAGGGTATTTTGGGCAATACTACAGGAATGTTGGCCTCCTGAACAGGATTGGCTCAGAGTTTAGCAACTCAGTTCCACACAAATGGACTTGGAGGCTCCCTTGTCAACAGACAAAGGATGCCCAATTGAAGCAGTGTGTATATGAGTTCCCTTTGTTACATTTGTTGAGCACATCACAAGACAGGGACCTGCACCTGGAGAAGCATTGACAGTTGCAGCAGTGTTTGTACGAAGTCTGTCAACCATAGAGCTAAACCTCACCTAATTTGCACCATGTGACGTCATCAGTCAACACCAGAGAAAACCCATTTACCCCACAGATTATTGAGCAGGGCAGAAAGTGACCAGGGCACCAAGAATGAAACAAACCCACTGCCCAAGTACACCAGAAAAGGGGCACAGAAAAGATATAAATATACTTCCCAGGAAGTAAATAATAATCCCCAGCATTGATACCTCAGTTTTGCTGCCTTCTTTTTCGTTTGAACACTGACCATTGGCCAGGAAGGCATACACCAGCAACCCATATGAAAACTGAGCGACGGGTTTGAGCATGGAAATGACAGCAAACAGAGAAGGGACAGGAAAAAGGAACTAACATTTGGGGCCCCCTAGTGCTCCCATAGCTTGCGAAGCTCAACCCTCATTCATCCCGACTAAAACTCGAGCTGGAATGCAGATTTGCATGGGAGCAGTGCCTGAACTTCCCAGAGAATTTAGGCACCCCATTTGTGTATGGCCACAAGGCGGCATGGCACACATTGAGACCATGAATGCATGTGTGTATGTGCGTGCGTCCAGGTTGGGCCCTTTGCTTGATGTGCAAACTAACCAATGTGTTCATCATGGTGTCCTACCACCTACCAAGGATATGTTACAATCTCTGTTGCCTTGTTGTGATACAGAGCCCCCTCAGTGTGAATGTATCTTGAAATTATATTGCAACTGAAAACAGAAAACAGTATTGGGGGTCTGTTCTGGGGAGAGAAACAATTGTTGCTGTTGTGAGACACTTCCAGCTATGCAGCTGTGTGTTTCCACTGACGCGAGCTATGTTTCCCTTTGTCCAGGGCTCTGCACTGCCTTGTCAAGCTACACAGGCAGCACAATGTGGGACTCGCTGGGATCAATCTTTGTTGGTATACTCATGGGCGGTGTGGCCACTTTTCTCATCAGGATGAACAGGTCATTTCTCATTGGTAAGCACAAACATGTGCAGAAGTGCATCGCATCCAAGAATTGCCTTGAGGTGTTGTTTGAATGAGATTACCAACGTTTCACAGGAGGACACCTTTTTGGCCAGGGAACGTGAGCAAAGGATATTTTCACAAGTAAAAGAGGCTTTAGTTACAGCCTGCACTGAACAGTGTTGTTTGTTGTGGTTTTATACTCTTGCATGATGTTTGATTCGTACATTCAAGACGTCAAGCAGCATTGCCCATTGTACTGAGGCATATGAATTTTGCTTGGTTGCAACAGATTGGGATGCGCTAGTTGCTGTGTGCTATGTAATCATGTTGCTGTGTTGCTATGTTGTCAATCACCACATTGTTTTTGTCTTGTTATGTTTAGACATGCGTTGCAGGGAGCTGTATGGTTGCTGTGTTGTTGGGAAGTGCAACCCAGCCGATGCCCTACCTCTTGTTTGTGGTGCCAGGTCGCTCCATGAACAAACGTGAGATGCAGCTGATCATGAGGCAACTGCGAAATGATCCAGTTGTAAAGGTGAGCCTTTCCAATGCGCACCTGGGAACATTTCTTGTGGCTACTCAGCTACGTTGACCTTTGGAAGTATCAAATGAAAACATTGTTGTTGCGTGCAAAACCAACTGTAGAACATGCACAAATGCCTGCTGCGAAGGGCCTACATGTACTAACACTGACATGGCAACATCAGTGGAAATGATACTTCCCTGTGCTTGCAGAATGTTTGTTTCCCACAAATAGTACATCACATTCAGAGACCAGGTGGTACCCTGTTGTAGCTCAAAAGAGACAACATATGCAAATGACCACTTGCAAGATAATGTTGATATGCGTACAGGCCATTTGTGGGCGGAGGCCTAGTGGTCTCCTTCCCTTCTGCAACACCACCCTTGCCCGCTACACACAGCATGCAAAACTCGAGAACTGATGGGCCTCGTTCCTCTCACAGAATGTGTATGACTACAAGAGTGAGGAGATTGGACCTGGGAAGTACCGATTCAAGGCTGAAATAGGTAGGGCCTACAGCTCTCAGGTTTTCCTGAATGAGCAGAGCTCGGGGTTTGATGTGGGGCAGATGGCACGGCGATGAAATGTTCTCTGATGTGTTCAGCTGAATTTACTAGCTGTGGGACTGGACATTGCATTGTTGTATGGAGGTGTGTCTCCTAGATGATCATGCCTCTGTTTGGGGAGTGACATCACCATTTGCCAATCTTTGCCTGGGCAGCTTCACCCAGTGGCACCAAATGCGCAAATCCTTAACAAGGGAAGCTGCAATGAAAAAGCAGAAGGTGGGCAGAATTGAACATGATAGCCAGCTCACAAAATCTGGGATGTGTGGATGGGTCCATTGCACTGGCGTTTGCAGACTGAAGACAGCCAGCTCATGTGTTCCTGCTGCCAGATTTCAATGGTGAAGTCGTGGTCGACAACCATTTGAAGGTAATTGTGTGTACAATGCAGTTGTTGGTTACAAGGCCACCTCACAAGATCTGGTTGCAACAACTGTTAAAGGGACAAGCACCTCTTTGATTTGGCAATTTGTGTTGTCAATCATGTTGCGGTGTTATTGGTTTGGCATGTGACGAGATGAGCAGTGGCATGGTAATGAGACCAATGCTTCGATGTTGTTGAGTTGCTGCAAGTCTTGCATTTTTTGTTTGTCAACCCCTTCAGACCCACAAGGCAATCTGGGGCAGTTTGGCGGGCAATTTGGTAATTTTGACAGTCTGAGCGATGTTCGTCAATAGCACCTAAGACGGCAGGTGTAGGAGAATGCTGCGATGTAGCTGAGTCCATCCAGCTCGGTCTGTAGCGCCCTTGCTCACAGAGTAAAAGCACTTGACACCCATTATTGGACACACGCTAAGACAAAATAAGTTTGTGTCTGCAAGTTGTGTACAAAGTAGAGTGCTGTGTGTGTTTGCCTTGCATCTTTGTGAGCTCACTGGAGCACAGCAACGTCAGCTGGTGATAATATTCCGAAAAATGCAGAGAAGGACAGAAAGAGAGGCACGCAATTCGTGAGATTAACGCTTTGTGCTGGTGCTTCTTGCAGAGGACAGATCGTGAGGAGGTGTTTAGTCAGTTGCGTGCTGCCACCTGGGCCCAGGACGACCGCGCCCTCGATTTTGTTGTCAAGCAATATGGTATGTTGTTGTCGAATTCTCCATCCTTTTCCATGTGGCTGGTCACAACGTGGCTGTTATAGCTGTGCTGCGGATTCCGTTGAATCAACGGGCAGGAAGAGGATGGGATTTGGGAACGGCGAACTGCCTGTGAGCAGTCCTGTTCATTCGTGCTGCATGTGCACTACTGAACCTGGTATCTACAGGTTCAACAAAACCGTTCTTGGCGATTGACCTTGAAGTGGCACAAGCTTTGGGATCACAGCAGAAATGGTTCAAGCTTCAGATTGGCCTTCTTTTGTGCATTCCCAGTTTGTTTTGATCCTCTTGCTCGCAAATTGGAAGATGTTGCGTAGTTTGGCCATTGTGGATACTTGCAGTGGATAATCTTTTGACCAGATTTTTGCGGCAGTAGTGCATGGAGCTTCGCAGTTGAATTCGAAGAACTTGAGCACAGTCATGGATAGTGTGGACCAGAGTGTCCATTCGAGTGACGTACGTTCAAAGGTTGCATGGTCCTAATTGCCTATGCCTGTGGCAGGGAAGGAGTTGGTGAGCGCTGTTGGTGCGGAGGTTGACCGCCTTGAAGCTGACATCTTGAGAGTCGTCCCCGGTGTGGTGCATGTTGATTTGGAGGTGGACAGGGGTAAAGTGGACTTCTTAAGGAAACGCTTCCCCCGTGTGCCCACTGACCCCAAGCAAGCGGCCCGCAAAATGCCTCCGCACACAGCCGCTGTGAAAGACGGCAGCTAAGGGCGCAAGCACACCTGTGGGGATGTTCTGCGAAGACCATGATGTTCTCCACAGTGCTGAGCACCCCAAGGCGATGTGCAGTCTTTGCATTGAGCTCCAGTGATGGATGGCTGCAACCAAATGGCCAGGTGCTGAAGCATGTGCTGAATGGTGCATTTGCAAGGCAGCGAGGAGCAGGCAGCTGCGGCTGCTGGCATCTATCAATAGGTCGAGTGTCTGACCACAGCACGCTTCTGCAAGGAACGCCACTGCTGGCCTGGTAGATGAGTATGGAGAACCCTGCCAGCGGTCTGTTGTGCATTGCCAAACGAAGGCAAGGTGATGCACAATCGGTTGCAGTTGCAGCTGTGAATGGTTAAGAGGTGCCCGTGTTAGATTGTCATGAATAGGTACAAGTTTTTATTCGCGGACGAGTGTAGAAGAGCTGTTTGCATGCTGCATCTGAATAACAACTTGGGCTGTGGCTGCCGGACGTCCTGCTGAATGGGTGTGAGCTGCTTCATCCTGCGTGGTGTTCATGACGTGCAAATCAGTCAGGTCGTTATTAACGCAATTCCATGCAATACTGAAAAGCGTACCGAACCGACTCTGAACCTTTGGCGGCGCCCTTTCCGCGGCTGTCCTGTGGCGCCAGTCGCACCCCGACTGGGGACAGGCCGCCAAAATTATTGCTGGAAGCGATTTCTGCATGACCTGTCTCCTCGACCCGCCCATACGCTCAAACGTGACAATGACATTACATTCCATACTCAGTCGGTGCTCTTCACCAGTCGCCGCCTGAGGATCCCACAATTTTTTTGTAGCGTTGATAGCAGTTGAGCCAAAACAGGACTCTGACTCACACTGTGCCAGACAGGACTCTGACTCGCACTGAGTCAGACCCTTATCCTGTGCCTAACTTCTCTCCACCTTACACCCAACCTTTACACTCTGGAGCGGGACATGTTGGAGTGAAGCAAGGTGGTAGTGGGGACAGAGGGTGGTGCCTGAGCATCCGCTTTTAGAATATATCTAATAAAATGCCTTCTACAAGACAAAGAGGTGCTCGTGCAGTTTGTAGGCGATCACAGGCTGTGCACAGACAAGAACGTCTGTATGCCCCGCCTCCGTTCATTTGCAACTCAGTTTTTCCCGAAACCCCGCCACTCCCAGGGGCGTCAAGCTTGGGAGCCTTGAGGGACATCTACCAGCCTACAGAACCATGAAACACAAGCCCAATGGGGACAGCCACGAAGACCTTTGCGAATGTGGCCACCAAATCAAATCATCGGCCTCTCAGCCAACCCTCCCAGCCAGCGTCGCCCTTTGCAGAAACCCAGCAACACCATAATTGGTTTCACTGATGTTCTCCTTTCTCTCGTATTGTTTGGGATCCTACATCGGTTCTTGCTGGCCTGTTGTGGTTCACGATTGGGGTAGCTCCTCTGTTCGTATTGCAGTGTAATGCATTTGTGTTAAATAGAACGACCATCATTATGGTGTAATGTGTTTTGATTACATGCAGGGCGTCTGACTGAAACTGGTCCTGGTCAGCAAACCAGTACAGGGATAAAAACAAATAGAAACAATAACTGAGTACGACGTAGAGAAGAATGCTGATATCCATTCTGGTGTGCGGAACATTAAAGTCGACATTAAAGTCAACATTAAAGTCGACCAAAAGTCGTCAGGCAGCTGGACATGGTGAGCTCATATCAACTTATTGAAATGTGAATGTCTCTGAAAGGGCGTTGATGTGCAGCGCTGATGAGTTATGCACAAGAGGAGTACGCTGGAGAGAAGACGGAACACCCAAGCTAAGATGGTGCATGCCTGGCTTGGAAATCCGATTAGAAAGGAAAGTGCAAAGACTTCAGCTTGACGGGACTAGACGAAAGTAGCTGTGGGAAAAGCTAGTGTTACTGGCTGGAATATTCCTGCAATACCAGCCGAGAAGGTATGTGCTGTAATGAGTTTGATGTGTTTGATATGGGCAGTAGGAATAGCACTGACAGAATGGGACATCTAGTCATGACTTAAGGGAGATAAAAGAATTGCCATGAGATGTAAGGGAGGCTGGTTGAGCGTGAATTATGTGCATGACTGAGAGCTGTTTGAGACTGGTATCGGTGAACGGTAAAAGGCATGCTGTGAGCAACCCAATCCATGACAGGCTGCCTCCTAGACATGTTCCATTACTAAGCAGCCATAGAGCTGCAGGTCTTTACAATGCAATGCGAACTATATCTGGTAATACCAAGACAGGGCGCGAACCATGATTAAGAAAGGGCATTTGTCAAGACTATATATGACATGGACGCACTCCATGAGAATGAACATCAGCATGGCTGAAAAAAAAACAAATGATCATTGGGTACGGTTATGTAAAGAACAGCCAGGTACATGCCGTGGAATTGAACTGCAGCGCTTTGCCATGCTGAGCAACCGTGGACAAGGCAGAAGTCGGAAACATATGACACCCGAGAAATGGGGCTTAACACAGCATGGCATTTAGTTCATTATAGCGGGCCTTCAAGTGCTAGAAATGATTAGTCCATGCACTTATTCATCGCTAACATTGGATACTCATTTCCCTATCCATAGGCACCCCAAGTACGGACACATCAGCATGGCAAACACGTTGTCGGAATAACGTGTACGTCGATGCTGCCGTGGACTCATGATAATACCCAATAGTGTCCGTTTACATGAGCACAATGGAACTTTAAAAGAAACCATTTTGCCAGCCAAGGGCACCTGCCCCGTGATGGCGGGCCTTGGACAGGCGCCAACACAGTGGTAGAACCATTCCTTTGACATACAGTGACTGTGAATGGTGCACTGAGCTCATGCATTATCTATAAATGGTCGAATAAAAAGTAGCTTGATGATGGAATGGGAAAATGGACTTGATACAATATTGTAAGGGGATTGAGAGCACAGAAGAAGGCCACCATAGGTCACCCATGCCCGCCGTAGGCTGGATTTGCCCTGAACTTAATGCTGAATCCCTCACACGACAGCCTGATTGGCTGATGTGTGTTGCTATGCACTTCCCCACCCTTCATGTCACATCCGTGTGTGGAGTACACGCCCCCCATGTCAGCCTAATACTGAGAAATATACGGGTGTCATCCCGTACGTTGGGCTGCGCGTCAATGGCTGCCACCGTGCGTCATGTGTCATGGCAGCCTTTGATATCGTATGGAAACTTTGGACGCCGAGCTGCAGGGCGCCTCAGAGGCTCACGCATGGTGGTGGCGACTTGCAGCGACGCGCTTGAACATGGCTGCCAGTTCTCGAGGACGATGGTGACGATGGTGGAGTCAAATGGCTGGGCGCTGCTGCCCCCCATGGCGGCAATTCGTCTCGCCGTGCATGGATTTTTTATGTCCAGGTGAACCTGTGATGGCCCCAAGGGATGTGGTAGTCCATGGCGTGACGGACGGCTAGGCGCAGCGCTTGATTTGAATGCCTGGTCAGCGATGGCGGGCGCGATCGAGGCGCTGGCGCCCATGGCGGAGGCATGGGGAAGCGGGCGAGGATGGAGTAAGGTGATCGCGGGCAGCAGGGAGCATGGCGCGGGATTGGACGGGGGGCTGTGGGATCGACTCAGTTGGGCATTGAGACGGTCATGAATGGTGAGGGGTAGCGTCAGGGGTCGGACGACGAGGGATGGCATGTTATTATAAACTCCCTTGATATGCCTGATGTGAATGAGCAATAAGTGTGGGATGTCGTGAAGCATATGCGATTTGACGCGTCACAAATACTGATGTTCCATATTGATTGTCGGCATGCATGTCAAATGACTGATTAATGAATCCGTACCTGAAGATGGCATTGATCATATGATTAGGGGTCCTGAATTAGTTGAATCTTTGCAGTGGCTTGAAACGGGCTGCAGCAACTTGGGCGCAAGGTGATAGCATAGTGATGGGAATCAGGTTAGTTGAAAAAAGCGATTGATAGGATACTGCACAAAGAGCGATTGTGGCCATCTAATCTGATTTTAGGGAACAAGGATCAAATTGGATTCCGAAGTGAGGGGTTGAGGTGACATTAACTTTGATGTGTCTTGTTGACATGGGGCAATTTAAATGTGATCCAGATCAGGCATGTTGATGCCTAGCTGATGATGGGCCTGGTAGGGGAGAGCCCGGGTGATCAGGGAATGGTCCTGAATATTCGGGAATTTTGCCTAGATTCTTTGGAGGGGGAGGGGGCGGTTTGTAAATAACGGGGTTGGTCCCCATTTGCAACAATGGTTAGGGCTGGCTCTGAGCCCAGGGGCAACAGGGCCAAAGGAAAACATACCGAATTACTTTGTAAAACAGCTCGCAACCCATGGGGTTTTGCACTGTACTTTTAAGTAATTAGTTTTCACCTGAACAACTTCGGGTGGAAAGGCCGGAACGGCTTGTATTTAAGGGTGGCAATTAACTAACAGCGATATATTGGGAACACGTGTTGGGCCCGAAATCCGTGTTAGGTATTATTCATATATAAGACCTGGCTTATTGGGGAAGTTTACAAGGTTCTAGGGCAGCTCCAGTGCTTGGTAACAATGCCTACAAGGCCCCAAATTTATCTCTAAAACACAAGAAAGAGAGAAAGCTTTTGGTACCCTCACAGAAAATCCTAAATGATAATTAGTGATAATTATTCATCACCACGGAACGCCTTCGGAGACCCTTGATGATTAGGAATGCCTTCTTGGGCCCCTCTGAGTATTGTCCGGGTATCTGAGGGAAATTTTTCTTTTCATGTTGATTGTTCTGGTTCATTAAAGTTGTGAAAGAAATTGTTATTTCGAACCTTGGGCGAACATATGTGAATCGTTACTAACAACAACATTTTGGAGTCGAGCATCGATTGTACATCTGGTAAGGGGTATAAGCTTTGTTGCACAGAGAGAAGGCTTGTGATTAAGTCCAACAAAACCTGGTGGTTACTGCATTGGGGCTGTGGGTTGTGGGGCTGAAACACGTCTATCCAAGTGTATAAATTCAGTGTTATGC